TTTTTTTTTCTTTGTGTAAACACTACATGATTAGGCCCACACCAAAGCAGCAAGACAGAAACAAATCTAGATCTGACACTATTTAAACCATCCGAACTGTCCATATTGAAGAGGATTTCTCTCAACAGAAGGCGAGGCTGTTGATGTAGGAAGAAATATCACGCTCCTAGTGCTCTAGAAATTTACTCTGGTTGTCTGTTTTACCCAACTATTCAGAAGCATATCTATGATTATACCAAAACAAGTTCAAATAAGGCCCACTTGATGCTGTCATTTTAAATTTCTTATTGGAGACTTATTCAGACCTCCTTTTTGCAGTAGTTTAGGAGCTTTTAGCTTCAAATTTCTTTTACATTTGCTTTGCTGCTGGAGGGTTCTGGCTACCACATGAGGGGGAAATGTAACATAGTTAAATAGATTGCAGGGATGCTCCAGTTTCAATTACCGTTTGATGTTTTTTCCTGTTCATACACCAGGTGGTCCCACAGATACTCCACAACACGACAACACCACCTTCAGCTTCAGCAGCACTCCCTTTAAAGACTTGCCTCTGTTTAACTCCCCAACTGAGCTTCTCAAATCCGCTCTGTCCAGAGTGACCGGACCAGCAGAGTCACCCACCGGATGCTTCACAAGTAGTTACTCCAGAAAGCTTTTGTGGGGAGGAGGCGCACCAGCCAGTCCCTCAATCACAGAGGGCCTCGTCTCAGATACCTTGAACGACAACCTGAACAAGATATTGTTGGATATTAGCTTGTCTAGTCTTGATGATGATGATGACCTTGGTATGGCAAACATGAGCTGGTCTGAGTTGTTCCCTCAGCTGAAGTAGTCAGAGGGCCGACACAGACTCTATTGCTAACCAGTGTCACCTGTTTTTGAAGGGGAAAAGTGTAACATCGTTCTTTCTTTGAATTTCTTTACATATTTGGCCTCCTTTGTGTTTTACGGTTTTCCTTTTTTGCTGTATTTGTCTGTCTTCTTGAAGGACATGAATTCATTTCTTGAAGGAATTTATTATATGTGTCAATAATTAATTACATTTTAAATTAAATTAAATTAAATAAATAAATAAATAAATGTGTCTTTAATTAATTAACTAACCCTCTGGGTTTCTTCAAAATCACTATCCTTTCAGCTTGTTCTTGGCCAAAAGTGTCCAGCAACAGATTAGGTGTGTAATTTTTATAATTTTTTTGTGGGGTTTTTGTGCTATTTTTCTGCATACATTTTTAAACTATAACATCAGTTCTTTTTATAAATATAAAAAAGCCTTTTTTTTTTTTTTACATTTTTAAACCTTGAAACACCAGTTTGTTTGTACAATGCACTTGTTGGAAGACAACTTCAAAACTCACTTTCATATATTTGCATTGCTACTGGATTTTCTTGTATTATTAATAGCAGAGTCTGGGACGTGTAATCAATTAACATCAACAGTGATTTTTTTTTTCTATTGTTATTTTTGTGCAGGGAAAGCGAAATAGAGCAAACTTTCTCTCAGCTTGTTCATTTGTAAGTATTCATAAACAGAGAAAATCATAAAATCCCATTTTCTTCCAAGTAATACATGCAACCTGATTTATTTGTAACCGTCACTGCAACTACAATTATATCAATAATTAACAGTATCAATGATTTTTATGCGTTAATATATTTTTGCACAGTGACAGAAAAACTCCCACTCGACTTGTTCGTGGCCAAAAATGGCCAACCTGTTGTTTACATTCACAAAATGCTATAAAATTCAAATATATTAAAACATTTTTCTACTTTCATTGACTTGATTTTTTTAAAATAAGAATCAGTTCTGGTCCTTAAAACCAAAATTTCATTCAAGTTCAGAATTTTAACCCTTTCAATACCAGTTAGATTACATAAATGTAATGATCTACAAAGAGATAAAAACCATAAAATCCCTATTTTCTTTTTGCAAATATTACATGCAATCTGATTTATTTACTAACCATCATTGCTGTTAAATGTATAGCAATGCTTAACAGTATTAATGATTACTGTTGTAAAGACTCACCTTTCAGCACACTCACTGCACCTTGTTTGTTTTTCTCACCTTTGATTGGGTCTGGTCCGTGCCCTTAATTGCGCTCACCTGTCACCTAACAAGAAAAACTCCCTCTCAGGTTGTTCATGGCCAAAATTGGCCACCTCCTGTTTATATTCCCAAAGGGCTATAAAATTGACAAACTTGATTTATTAAACTAGCACCAGTCGTTGTCATGAAAACCAAAATATTTTTAATTTAGAAATTATAGCCTTCAAACATATATTTAAATTTCCAGCCTTGAACTTTCAGTTGGAAATTCAATTCTACCCATCTGTCACACAAAACTTTCTCCACTTATGTTTCTACTGAGATTTCTAAAAACACAACAACAATGATAGGGTCTCGGATTCGTTTAAGGGAATCGTTTAACGTAGTATTGCATGGCAAGATCGTCTCCTTTCAAACAGAACAAAAGGAGTAAATACATGTTTGTGGAAGTGGTTAAATGGCCTGCATTTGTATAGCGCTTTACTCAGTCCCTAACTAAGGACCCCAAAGCGCTTTCCACTACATTCAGTCATTCACACACTGGCGCCACCGGGCCCTCTGACCGCCACCAGTAGGCGAACATGGGGTTAGTATCTTTCCTAAGGATACGTGGCATGCAGCCAGGAGGCAGCCTGGTATCGAACCACCGACCTTCTGATTAGTGGCTGATCTGCTCTGCCACCTGAGCTACAGCCACCACCAGGTTACTAAAACTATACAAAAGCTTACAAAAGCAATTACACAATTATTTGCAATATTATCATATATAAGAATGAGTGGGTATTTATATCTCATTTAAAAAAAACTCACAAGCATAGTAAAAACCTGGCTATAGTGACAACCCTGCTGTCAAACAAAGCAGGTGAAATTAGGTAGAAATATGCATGAATAAAGAAGCTTCCTACGCAGCACAGTAGACTGAATTTGTGAATGCTGCCAGCAGCGCTGAAGTAGAGACTAAAAGTAGTCAAATTCATTATCCATCTAGAACTGACACATCAAAGTCATTTTACACCACGGGCTGCATACAGCCCACTTTGGTCTGAAGTGGACCGAACCAGTGAAACTTGATAAATGTGTAAAATTACAGAAAAAGTGCTTTTTTTGCACTTTTTTCTATTTGGTATAGATACTTTCTGTAGTAAATAGCAGAACAACTGAAACTATTTTGTCCAGTGGGCTGGATTAGAGTCTTTCCCAAACCGATTCTGGCCCCTGCGCTTTATGTTTGACACCCCTGAACAGCTCATCAGCAAGCAGACCCAAAGGGAGTACGCATTTTGACAATAAAAGAAGCCAGGTGCCTGCTCGCCTGTGTCCGACACTATAAACACCACTCTCCCTGCGATAAATGTTAGGCATACGTAGGTACTACACACTGCACACATGACTCACATCACTGTATACAGATTCCCAAGATGCTATCTGTCTTCTCTCCTACTCTGGCCCAGGAATGGCCCGACTGCTTCCCTCCTTTAAGGGTAAGACTGTGCCGTGATGCTGACACTTTTCTTTCATCCCCAAAGGATGTGTGCGTGTGTGTACTTGAGAGTCTTGACAAGTTTCTCTCTTTGTCGTGGCTTCAAGAGAAGGCATCCGAGTGCAGTTATTTACCCTGATTGAAGACTTCATGTGCTTTTGCAACATCAGTGTTCAATCATGAGAAAGTGGAGAGGGGACGCAGTTTCCTGCCCCCAACTGCGGGGTCTAGTTTGGTTGTGTCAACACTGTCCAAGCCTGTGGTCAGATCAAAAGCCGTCTCTAGTGTAAGGACTACAGTTGGATATTTGGTGTCCAAAAAGATCCCCACTTCCTTTTTCCCATACCCTGACCCCTCAGCTCCTCGACCCCGAGCAAAGCTGGATCACGTGATCTCAGTGGTTCGACTCATCAGAGGCTTAAAATGAGTTTTAGCGAAGCAGGAGCGGCACCAAGCTTCAGTTTTTGGATGTAACCTGTCATGCTTTAGTGCTCTGCACTGATTTCAGCTTGTGGTTAATGATGCAACCTTGCCCCCAGCTGAACCAGCAATGACGTTACACTTGAAACTCTGTCAATTTTCTTTAGGAACAGCAGAGGGTGCTGTTGTTTACTAGATAATCAGGAGACTTGCTTAGACTCAACATGAACAATCTGCATGCTTTATGAACTGGGTACAGCTTATCACTTATCGTCTGAAGAAACGAACAGTACTGTATTTTCTTTTCTGACACCGTGTCCTGGTCCTTCCTTTTTAACTGGCAGCTAAATGGTGCTTCTTCTTCTTCTGCTTTTTGTTGTTTAGACAGACGCTGTCCTCCTCAGAACATTAGTGATGGGTCGGTCGCGAACGAAATGGCTCTTAGATGGCTCTAAGAGCGACGCGAGCCGACTCCTTATCGCGAGCCGTGTTTTT